GAATACACACGAACGCATTACACGGTATCACACGGCGTGGTTCTTCACAATGACTTATTACACATGAGGGTTCATTCAAGGGACGCAACGCAGGAGGGGCGGGGAGGGTGGGGGGCAAGAGTTTTTCACTAAAGTACATTTAAAGCCAAAAAACGTATTCTTTCTTTTTTAACCATTCACACTTATATCTGATTACCAACTTCTGGATTATCTTGTATCAATAAACAAGCACAAATACTCCTGTAATAAAGACCGCTCACTGCTGCTATCTCTCTCCTTGTGCAGGGTGACTGGTCCTGTCTCCGCCCCCTCCTGTAATAAAGACCGCTCACTGCTGTTCTCTCTCCTTGTGCAGGGTGACTGGTCCTGTCTCCGCCCCCTCCTGTAATAAAGACCGCTCACTGCTGTTCTCTCTCCTTGTGCAGGGTGACTGGTCCTGTCTCCGCCCCCTCCTGTAATAAAGACCGCTCACTGCTGTTCTCTCTCCTTGTGCAGGGTGACTGGTCCTGTCTCCGCCCCCTCCTGTAATAAAGACCGCTCACTGCTGTTCTCTCTCCTTGTGCAGGGTGACTGGTCCTGTCTCCGCCCCCTCCTGTAATAAAGACCGCTCACTGCTGTTCTCTCTCCTTGTGCAGGGTGACTGGTCCTGTCTCCGCCCCCTCCTGTAATAAAGACCGCTCACTGCTGTTCTCTCTCCTTGTGCAGGGTGACTGGTCCTGTCTCCGCCCCCTCCTGTAATAAAGACCGCTCACTGCTGTTCTCTCTCCTTGTGCAGGGTGACTGGTCCTGTCTCCGCCCCCTCCTGTAATAAAGACCGCTCACTGCTGTTCTCTCTCCTTGTGCAGGGTGACTGGTCCTGTCTCCGCCCCCTCCTGTAATAAAGACCGCTCACTGCTGTTCTCTCTCCTTGTGCAGGGTGACTGGTCCTGTCTCCGCCCCCTCCTGTAATAAAGACCGGTCACTGCTGCTCTCTCTCCTTGCGCAGGGTGACTGGTCTCATCTCCGCCCACCTTCTATAGTTTTTTGCAGGCAGTCTTAGCAGGTGGAGCCTGCAGCCCTGCACAGGCTATGTACAGCACGGAGATGATGTCCCTGCTATGTTTATGGGGTATAATTGGGTTTCAGGAGGCATTTGGTGCACAAAAAAAAGAGGATTTATATAATTTTTGGCTATTGAATAAATTGAATATTTATATAAATTTAAATGAAGCCCCCAGAGTTCAGCTTTATTTATAAATGACAAACAAGACACTTCACTCTATAGAAACAACAGACGCTCATCAG